TTCATCACTTTCAGACCTGGCCCATCCAACCTCCTGGGTGTGAACCTTGGTGCTTCATGTCATCCTCCATCTGAATGGATAGGACTCCAAGGACCAAGGAGGAGTAAAGCCACAGATGAAAGCAGCCTGGGTCCCTGAATGACCCTGATGGGGTCCCCTGACCAGATATACCCACATTGGACTATGCGCTGAGCAAGAAATAAACTGAAATATCAGGGACTTGCATATTATCCTCCCTCCATATTTTTCCCCCGTCTCATCTATTTGTTTCACCCTTTCATGGGAACGCTGGCACATTCCGGTACCTTCAAAACTGGCATTTCCCTCTTAATTTACCCATGCGAAGTACTCATCCCAAAAGCAAAGACTCTGAAAGTCACTTCTACTAAAGAAATAATTTTTGAATATGAACTTTTGTAAAATTAGTCGGCTTCTTCCTTAATAAACATGAGTAAGAATTCCCCAAATTGGTGAGACTAGCTAAGAGTGATATGGATCCATGCCAGAAACATTTTTCTCTTCCTCCCCCATTTTAGTGTCAGGGAGGTGAAATAGGGAACCAAGGAAAAGGCAAATATTAATACAGTAAAGATAGCTAATATTAATAAAATGGAAATACTAGCTTTAAAAAGCAATATTTGCATTTAATACAGGATTATATAATTTTATTCCATTTCTCTCTCATGACGGCTCAATTATGTAGGCAGTGCTGGTATTTTAGAAGTTGGCTCGGGCTCAGCAAGATCCCACGCCTTCTCCAGACACACGCTGTCAGGGAATGGGAGAGCTCGTCAGCTGGGTCTCACGGCCCACTCTTACTACAGTAGAAGATCAAATTCTGTGGGCTAATTAGCCATAATGTTTAAGAGTTCCTATATATACATTGATGAAATGAAAAAAGAAAGAAACTGGTATCTTTTATCTCTCATTAAAAATAATTTTTTTTTGGAGAGGTATGGGAAAGACAAAATGTATAGATGATAAAATGTCTATAGCAATTATTCACAAACTGACTGGTAGTTTAGAATGATTGTAGTTTGACCCAAGATTAAATTTTTACTTCGTTTTTATTTTACTAGGTTATCTACTCTTTATATTTACATAAATATTTTATTTGTATATTTTTGCCACAAAAATCAATAGTTACAATACTAATATTTTGGGCCCAGTAGAAACTGACATGCTAGCATTTAAGTTGGCCTGTGTGATACACTAAGAAGAATGTATTTGGTCTTTGTCCCTGGCTGACACAGAGCTTCTAAAACTCTTGGAATAGGGTGATAGAGGTAATAGGAACATCTTTTGTTGTTCATAACAAGCCCCTTTCAACCATAACGAGTTTATGCTAACAAGGTGAGTCTTGGTGGACCCCTAGATAGCTTCAGGATAAGGGCTGGTTGTCAGAGAAACCAACCATGTAATGAGAAGGTTGGAACGTTCAGTCCCGTCCCCCAAACACGGGGAGGGGAGAAGGACTGGAGACTGAGTTAATCACCAATGACCAACGATGTAATCAAGCATGCCTACTTAATGGAACCGCCACAAAAACCCCTAAATGGGGAGGGCTTGAAAAGCCTATGGGTTGGTAAACACACTGAGGAGCTGGGAGGCTGGTAGGGCCCCCCACCAAGGGAGAAGGCATGGAAGCTCCCTGTCCCCATACCTTGCCCTATGCATCTCTTCCAGCTGGCTGTTCCTGAGTTGCATTTATAATAAACCCGTAAAGTGTCTCTTTGAGTTCCGTGAGCTACTCTAGCAAATTATCACACCTAAGGAGAGGGTCATGGGAACCTCTCCTGAATTTATAGCTAGCTGGTCAGAAGCACAGGTGGCAACCTGGGGCTGATGTCAGAAATGGGGGCACCACTGAGCGCCTAACCTGTGGGGTCTACACTAACTCCAGGTTGTTAGTGTCAGAATTGAATTGAATTGTAGGACACCCAGAGAGTTGAAAAATTAGTTGGTGTGGGGGGAAAAATCCCCACACATTTGGTGTCAGAAATGTTGAAAGCAGGGGGCCAGCCCAGTGGTGCAGCGGTTAAGTTCGCATGTTCCGCTTTGGCGGCCTGGGGTTTGCCGGTTCAGATTCCGGGCACGGACATGGCACTGCTTGGCAATCTATGCTGTGGTAGGCATCCCACATATAAAGTAGAGGAAGATGGGCACGGATGTTAGCTCAGGGCCAGTCCTCCTCAGCAAAAAGAGGAGGATTTGTGGTGGACATTAGCTCAGGGCTAGTCTTCCTCAAAAAAAAAAAAAAAAAAGAAAGAAAAAGAAAGAAAGAAAGAAAGAAATGTTGAAGGTAAAAATGGTCCATACCTTGGCTTTGAGGCTTCTGACGCCTGGAAAAGTTCATTAGGGGCATTAGAAGTTAAGGACAAGCTCCAGAAAAGCTAAAATAGACTTACGGTGGACTGACTCTACTCACTCCTAGCAAACACAAACAAACGAAAAATGATAATATTAAATGATGGCTGCTACTAAAGTCTAGTAATAAAGATGAATTGCAACCTCCTCATTCTCAGCGGAAATATGTGGATGATGGCGCCTATGCAGCCGCTGCACAGTTGTTAGATGTGAAAGCACTTTGAAAATCTCAAGCACTGTGAAACCATAACGTAGCACGTATTTTCACTATGAACCCAGGGAAAAGTAAGCTAGGCCTTGTTTCTCAGTCCACCAAGCCTCTGGGGAGAAGCTGGATCTATTTAGACCCAAGGCCTAATCCATCATCTCAGGACACAGCCTTGTGGTACAGAGGCCCCAGGATGGGGCAGCCTAGGACATGCCAACCCTGTGAGTGCTGGCGTTGCTGTGGACAAGGTTAAAATCTCTCTAGGACAGATCTAATGGGCTCCTCCACTGAGGACTCCGTCACAGTTTTCTTCCCCTCCCTTCTTTCTTGTTTTTGAAATGTATAAAGAAAAAAGTACACGACCATTCTCTTTCCACGGGTCACTGACTTGATCAAGGGAAACTCAAACCATCGTTTCACATGCAAGTTATACTGCTAATGGCTCACCACATGGAAAGAGGCAAAGGTTATTCTGTAACCATCTAGAATCTAGAGGGTGGGAGGCTATATTTTCCCTGTCTGCAAAGGTCTTTTCCTTATTTAAAAAAATGTTTATTCCTCTAAGAATATGTAATAGTGAACTAAAAAGTTAAAATCAAGTAAATTGGAAAAGAAAACTATGCGTTAAATTTTTTTCCTTTTGTTTTTTGAAATCATGTCAAACTATTCAGATTCAAATGAGAGAAATAAACTAAACACAACTGCCTGATCTAGTGTGAGTAAATGATTGACCATACAGGTAATCTGCTGTGGCCTTTATTCATGTCTCTGGTCATCCACCTACCACCCAGTATTGTTGAAGCTCTACTACATTCTAAACCCATACTGAGCACTGAGCATAAAACTATGGACAATAAACCCCATGCCTTCTAACACGGAGCTTATAGACAAGGAGAGAGTGCTCAGAAAACATTGTATGAGGACAGCTGTAACAGGGTAAGCATCAGGCATGGGAGGAGCCAGGGCCTCCGTGGAGGGTTGCTCAGGCTGTGCACTGTGCACAACCAGTATGTAAGAATGACTTTCCCTGGAGTTGTGTAACCACGGCCCTATAGGAGTACAGATGGGGAGGGCTTCCTGGAAGAAGTCTTGCCTCAGTGGAGATCTGAAAGATGGGTCGTTACCAGCCCAGGAGGTGTGTGTGTGGTGGCGGGGAAGCAATGAGAAAAAGGCTGTAGCACTGGAGAACTAAACACGGGATGGGAGGGAGGGATGGCAGGGATGACAAGGAGGAAGGCAGACAGCGGGTCAGGGTTGGCGGTGGGGAGCTGGTGTTCAGGATCACATCCAGGTTTCTAATTTGTCAAGTGGTGATGCTCCACTGGGGACAGGGGATATAAAAAGAAGGGCAGGTTGATAAAGAAAGACAGGCTCCCAGGTTTGAATCTGTTAAGCCCGAAGTGCCCTAGGACATTCCAGTTCAGGAGGCAGGTGACTATCAGAATCTAGAGTTCAGCAGAGAGGGCAGGAGTCAACAACAGAGAGATTATAACCATGGGTTTAAATCACATGACCCTGACAGCAAATACTACCCTCCAGGGCCAGGCGGAGGAAAACCGGAAAGACACCACGGGAGAGGTGGGCGGGAAGGAAAAGAGTGTGATGACTCTCCGCCTTTCAGGGAGGAGAGAGCTCTCTGTGTCAAGTAACCACTGAGACATCAAGTAAGATGACAGCTCACCATCCACAGGATTAGGTCAGGAGTGACCCTGGCAGGGCAGTTTCGGGAGTGGTAGGTACAGAATGAAGATTTTGGTGGATTGCAGGGTGACAGGAAGATGAGGAACAGAGACAATAGGCACAAAAGACTGTAAAGCAGAGAAAAGACACTAACCAGAGACATGGGGTAAATTACATTAAGGCTCCTTAGCACAAACAATTCAATGTTCTCCTGTGGGAGAGACAGCAGGAGGCTGAGTCCCGCCACGGGCACAGTTTTCCCACACACGGCCTCTCCACCACCCAGTTTGCAGGTTATCAAAAGCAAAGGCGCCAGAGTGGGTCAGAAACGGAGATCGGCAGAGTGTATGTGTGCACTCCAAAATGAGATGCAAACAATTTTCAATTAAAAATAAACTCTTTGGAACTTTTTCCCCATCTTTTCACCCTTAGACACTATAAAATTCTATAGATGTAGCCTATTTATCTCACTCATGTGAGCGATATTTTTCTAAGGACTTTCAAGGACAACTCTGCTCTGAAGAGCTGGAAACGTTACCTGTCTTTTCGTTGTCTTTCCCAAAACTGTTGAGCCCCAAGTGGAGACATTTTGCACGAATATCACACGGAAAGGTTCTATTCTCCTTAACTGTAAGCTTTCACACTGTGCAAGGCACTTCAGCAGGATTCTCCAGCTCCCCCCGCCCCCACCCCCGCCCAAGAAGGAAAAGGTGTGGGAGGGGTGGGGCCTCTCCAGGGCACCTACCGCTGCTTGGGTGGGTTGCTGTTTCTTGTTCCGTTTTGGCCTTAACTTGGTAAAGTGCTCCAGCTTCTTCCCTTCTTCGGAGGGCAGCTCAGAGATAAACCCTGAGCTCCGCTTCTCCTGTCTGATGGACGGGAAAGGCGGGTCTTCGATGTGGATCGGCACTTCTTCCAGGGCTTTATCTAGATCAAACTCCATTTCTAAAATAAAGCAAAGCCCAAGGCTGAAACTTATTGCATAGAGATTGATTTAAAAGTTCCTAAAAGTACCTGTAAGTTTATTACGGAATACAAACACCTAATTCACAAATCACTTAACTCTCTTTCTCAATATTTACTCATATATAGTATCCCTAAGAAACATCCCAGGCCAGCCCTGGTGGTCTAGTGGTTAAGATTCGGTGTTCTCACCGCCGTGGCCCAGGTTTGTTTCCAGTGAACCACACCACCTGTCTGTCGGTTGTCATACTGTGGCAGCTGCATGTTGCTGTGATGCTGAAAGCTATGCCACCAGGATTTCCAGTATCAGCAGGGTCACCCATGGTGAACAGGTTGCAGTGGAGCTTCCAGACTAAGACAGACTAAGAAGAAGGACCTGGCCATCCACTTCCAAAAAAATCAGCCACAAATACTCTATGAATAGCAGAAGAACATCCTCTGATATAGTACCAGAAGGTGAGAGGATGGCGCAAAAACACCAGCCAGGGTTCCGCTCTGCTGTACACGGGGTCACTAGGAGTTGGAATCCACTTGACGGAACCAACAGCAAAAGAAACATCCCTGAAGTGGTCCAACATCCTTGCTGAGGGTGTTGCATGGTTACAAGGAAATGGCTGATGTTAGCAAAACACTCACCAAAGGCCCTGGAAACAGGCCGCAGCATTCGGCTATGGATGCTCTTCCTTTTGGATTTGGGAGTCATCTAGCAATAAAATAGAGAAAGCACTTAGACAAGTATTCACAGAAAACTCGCCTTTCAAACTTCAGAAACATTGGCGGGGTGGTGGTTAGAGAAACATTTGGGATCAATTGTTGAAGCTCAGTATTTTTGTTTCACTTCTTTGGAGGGTGGCTGGGAACATCTGACAGCCTGAGGAAAGACTGAACCGACGCCACATTTCTAAATGTTTACAGTTTTCTCTAAGCATATAGCCAACTGCTTTCTTCTTTCTCCCAACCCTAATCAGTTAAACTCTATTTGTATGGTGGAAAGAAACAATGAATGATACAGAATTTAACTCCAAGCTGCACATGATGATATTAAAGTGGACATAAAGAATAAGATTGAAAGATTGTAAAAATCAGTTGTTAAATATTGAAAACACAATTAATTATTCATTGTTCATGATCACAGAAACATCAATGCAAGCACCACTGAACTCGTCACTTCAATGATTTAACCAGTTTAACTGTTTGGTTCCATATTTCTGCCACCAAGATTTTGATCTTTACATTATGGGCAAAGCCTAATTAGGAAAAAGTTGCCATGATTTAGAAATCTGGATCTTCTGTCATTTCTCAGTAAGACATCTTTGATCCTCCTAGTCCTCTAAAATATGAGACCAAAACCCAAACCATGGCCAAAAAAAAGAGCATTTTTCTAGCACTGGTGTCAACTGTTGATTATGTAAAGCCAAACCTAAGGAAGGCATGAGCTTCTCCCTCTATGGGACCACACATGTCAGAGCTGGAGAGAACCATTGTCATCACCAACACAAACAAATTCCAAGGAAGAAACTGAGTCTTGGCGATGATGAAGGCTACCATTCGTAGGAGCAGTGCCAGGAAGAGACTCGGTTATGGAGGTTAGCCCAGCATCCCTGCTACCACACCACTCGTTATCACTATACAGATGGATGGATTTTAGGGATATTTTAACTGGTTTGATACTAGGAATTGGCTTTTGCGTAAACTGAGAGATAATAACATAACTGAAAAAACTTAAGTTTGTAGATTTTCATTTCATTTAATAGGTTGTCATCTAAGGCTTTCTCAAAAAAAAAAAAAAAAATCCACCAGGTTGATAAACTTTCTTTGGTTCAAAGAACAAATTGTCTCATACTGAATTTTAAAGCAAATAACTTGACAGTTTCAACAACTTTATGCCATTTTTAATAATATCCTTTTGCTATTATTTATTGTTGAAGAAAAAAGGATAGAAAAAATGCCGAGCAATTGTATTGAAGTTCAGACTGGTCTTCCTGAAACGCACAATGAAATGTGCAGATTTGGTTCTTTCAAGGTTTTGTCAAAGGCAGACAATCTGAGGAATATCTATCCATAGGTTTTGCAGGTTCCATAGAAACAGTCAATCCAGGGCAAGTGGAAAGGAATCCAGTTTCATGGTTGTTCTTCCCAAACCCGGCCTTGCAGTTGGCTGAAGAAAGTAAAGTCTATTCATAAGTGAAACCTCTAAAAATAATTAATTCTCAAGAGATACAACCTACCAAAATATATGCTGTGTTTAGTCATGAAAATTTCTTCAAGATTCTATCCACTTTGTGCACAATCACGGTAGGTAAAAAGATCAAGAAGTAGTTTGGATTTAACTTCCAGTCAATTCCTTTAGATCACCACAAACAAAAAGGGAAGAAGTTTAAAAATGCATGGAATGAAGATGTCTTCGAAAATTTTTTCCTGTGACTCTTGATTAGATTTCATAGAAAGAGTATTCATAGGCAAAAATAATCTGGCTCAAGTTTCCCTATTTAGCCTTTATAACAGATATCAAATACACGTAAAACATGAGAATTATGACATTTCAAATATAGTATAATTTTTTAAATATATGAAAAGGAATATATATGGAATTATATATCCAAGAACGTAAAATATATCAAAAATATATATAGAAAGAGACTCACTTATAAACTGATACCCATGTGTGAATGTGTCATTCAGTTAAACCTAATTTTACAGACATACTGAGAAACATACAAAATCGTCAGGATTTTTGATGGTTGACTTCAACCAAAGGGGAATTAGTTTGTTCTTCTTGGTCCAGCTTTCTAATGCCTCAAAGCCTAGTATACAAAATTTGAAATCAGAAAGACGCATTCTAATGCTTTCATTGCTTTCCTTCATTTCACATGCTCTTTGCAAGTGCAAATAACTTCTAATTGCTTTTCACATAAAACTCCTTCACTGTATTTGACAACCTGTTAGTTGCGAAGTTTTGCCATGTTTGGACAGGGCCAATGGCCTTCTGCTAAAATAGGCAGGACCTGAAATCAGGCTAGTTTCTACAATTGGTATTAAGAAAGCAACCCAATTTTAACCATTTCTTTGGATGGATGAACTGTTTTACGATCCTCTTTTCATGGAGTTTAACAATGGAAAGAAAAAAATGAATCTGAATTCTCTCATATTTTTCTTTCTTTTCTTTAGAATTTCTTCTTTCTTTTCTTCTTTATTCCTATGATCCCATTACATTTACATCTAAAGCAAGGGGAAATTTAAGAATGATCTATGATTATCCACGTAAGTATATATTTAGGAACAAATATTCTTGGTTTCTCTAGAAATCTGGTTGACATGCACTCCCACTTCCCCCTTCACACAGCTGTTGGTTAGACGAACTGCATCCTGGGAAAAAAAATCTGGCTTTACCATCCTCTTTAGAACTGTTAACTCTCTTCCCTTTTCGTATCCAGATGAAAGGGTTAATTTTCTGACTGTTTCTTAGCCCTCATTTACCTTCCCTAAAAATTTGTCAATGCCTAAGTATTTTCTGTTCAGAGAAATAACAAAGGGCCCATCAGATGAACGGGGGTCAGCAACTGAAGCAGAAGTACACACACCAAATGGACCTTCCACAAATCAACTCATGGTTAACACCGTCAACTATTACTTTAGGCCTAGACAACATTTTTTATCTTTAAGAATGCATTTTATGAGTAAGAAGAAGCAATTTTCAATACTCACATCCTCAGGAAATACAAGGAGCAATGTGTTAAATAAACCCTTTAAAAATGTAACTTTAGAAAGAAAACCCTAAACACAGACTTCTTTCTCATCCTGACATCACAAACCATCAATACATCCCCACCATGGCAGACAGTGTGAACGAAATGCATGGCTCTTATTCTCTAGGAATCCAAAAGCAGAACAATGTCTACATTAATCAAAAATCTTCCTCATTTGATCCAATTTTTATAATGGATTTTAAACTACTCTCCATGTAGTTCAATAGTGGTATGTCCACTTTTACCACAAGTTAAGGACTAACGTTGGAACCTTACAAACAACACAATATTTTTTCTGTTAAACTCACTTTTATCATGTAACTCCTAGACACACAATTTTTTAAAAAACAAGTTAAAATGTTTCTATGACCATAAAAATAGGATGGAGTAGTTTCCTTGTTCATTTTATCAAGTTTGCCAAAGAATAATAAACAACACTCTCACCCCAAGCTCAAGAATCCCTAATTAATTTTCTTTTCCATGAGGTTAAAAAAATAAAACAAACAAAAAACCCAAACAGTTATGAAGCAGATTAGTAAAATTCTTCTAATACAAGGAGTGAATCATGATGTCGATTTATATAACTCTGGGACACAAGTAATATGACAAGAATCAGTAAGAAAAAAAAAAAGAAAAACAAAACTTGGAAGCTTAAGTATTCATGTCCTTTTTTGTTTTTTTTTACATGAAGGGAATAAGGACTTTTCCCCTCTTGAATGTTTATACTCTCTTCATCAACACTCTCCTTGCTTTCAGGAACACAGCTGGGGATATTTTAAATTCATGGCTTGTTTTGCTAGCTGAACCGTCTTGTAAAATCCAGTCTTGTCTCTAAATTGCTGCCTATTTCATTCAGGATCCACAGATGCATGACGACACTGCAGTCTCCTGGGAGACCAGCCAGGCAGCACAGAAGCGAATGGAGCACAAGAAGGTAAACTAATACGGCCAGAAACTGCAGAGCCACCAAAAAATACTTACACTTGTACAGCAGAGAGTCTCCATGCAGCAAAAAGGAAGGAAAAAAATATGAATGGAAGAGAGATAAAGCAACAGCATTACCAGAAAAGGGGAGGGAGAGGCACATTCACAAACAAACAGAAAAGCTACATAAAAAGCCTTCATAGCAAAGGAATAAGGCAAGAATGAGGCCAAAATATTATTAGCTTAAGGCACACAATCTAGCTTTTTAGAAGCAGAAGCACAATTACAGCTTGAAAATTGCAGAAACTCTTAGAGATATTACCTCTTTTGCTAAAGGTGCACAAAATGCCATCTACCAGCCTCATAAGGTATGAACTCCATTTGGGGGATGGGATCATCAGCTCCAAAGGCATATGGTGGACAGGACACCGGATGGATATTAGCAAACCCCACAGGGCTAGTCCCAGCCAAAAAGTGGGGACAGTGTACCTATGGGCATGTGTAAGCATCCCTTCCAGGGGTCTTTTACATCATGCCATGCTCCCCACTGCACTTTAGGATGAAGTAGTTTGAATTCTCTCTCCTTCTCGGTCATCAAAGCATTTCAGGAAAGGATCTGATGCCAGGACCTAGCACAGTTATCTACCCACAGGGTAATTAAATGTTGATGATAGCTTATATCTTAGTGGGAATTCAGGTCACCTTACCTTTCACATTAAATCTCTAATTAAATAATTCTAAAAACCTTATTGATCATTATTTATAGTTGTTAGAGCATCTTAATATTCTGAACATTTCCAAAAGAATTTTAAAAAAGCATAACAAAAAACAAGACGTCCAGTTGTAGAATGTCAGCTTTTGTGAACGCAAAGTATGGAGGGGTTGGGGAATTCTTTTCCAAAGCTACTGAAAACATGCTCTGAGGAGGGCCACCTGCTCCATCTCCCTGGGGCTGACATTTTTTTCCTTCAAGTTCCTTATTTTTTGTGTGCCAATTTTGCTCAAAATATAACAGGATAAAAATACAGGGCTC